TTGGCTTCAGTGCTAATGCTCTGTGTGCCCGCTGGATTTGCAGATCAATTTCAGCGGGTATGGAGAGCTCGGTTCTCAATAGCTGATCAACGAACTGAGGCATGGAGCTACCCTCTACACTCTCTGCCAGGCCAAAAATGTGAATATTGTTGCGTCTGCTTCTACCCTCTTGGTCTGTCAGCTTCTCCTGTATGGTTCTCTGCTGTTTCAGCGTTTGAAGAAGAGCATCCCTGACCTCCATATTCCACATTTCAGTGTCGCCCATTCTATCCTCCATTTCCTCAATTCTTGTAGCTTGTGATGCTAGCTCTGTGGCCGTCTCTGTGAGCCTCTGGTTGATACCTATTTTGGAATTTTCGAGTTCTTCTCTCATTTCTTTTTTGAATTCCTTTTTGAATGCGGCCAGGTCAGACCTTAATTCAGTTTTCAAGTCATGAATTTCTCTGACAACATCTTTCAGACCTGAGCGGAGAACAGCAGTCATTTCAGTTTCCATGTGCTCACCCTCAGTACCACTATCGTCCGCCTCCAACATGTTGCCCTTGTCTTCTTTATCCGTCGCTTCAGTTTGTTTGGTCTTTCTGCGTCTTCTTGTTCTCCCTTCCCATTCCATTACAGATTGAAATTGTTTTCTTTTTATTAAATGTGAATTCAGGGAATCTTTTTTCTTTTAGTGAGCAGGAGCTAGTCCATTATGCCGCCATCATTGACTATGTCCAAACGGAAGTCCATATGTCCACATTTTAAATCAGTTCATATCAGGTTTTTGTCAATAACAGCAGATCCATAATAATAAAACCAAGTTTAAACTCTCCACTAACCTCACACACGACTCTCCACTTTAGCGTCCAGAGCAGAAAAAGCTACTTTCACTTTCACCTTCATTCACAGCGCCAGGCTGGGTTGCAGGATTGGTTTGAGGATTTCCAGCTAAACGACTTCAGGGTCAGATTTAATCAGATAACTGTGAGAGTGACCAACGAAAAAGTAGGTCAATAAAATATGTCCACAGTTTCCAAACTGACATGATATCTAATGATTTATATGACAACATTAAAACAAACACAAACAATATTAATAACAGTGATAACAATGTCATGTGGTTTCTGCTCCATATTCAGTGAAGAAGCTCAGTTTTATTTTTCATTACAGGGACAGTTTTTTTCTTTCTTTCTCTTTCAGAAGATCTCAGTAATAATAAAGTGATGCTGATTAAACAGAAAGAGAAAGGACTATTAACTGTTAGGGAAAGTCAACAAATGATCATTATACAGAAATCCGTGTTGAGAATGATGTGGTTTATCAGTGCAGGCAGGGCAGGTTAGCACTTCTTTCTCTTCTGCTTTAACTGCACACAAAACATTCAGTGCTGAACTTCGTAGAACTAAAGGAAACAATCCATTTAGACTTTAATCCCAGAGTTCAATGTGGGAATATCTGTAAATATCTGGCAGCTCTTTCTCAACTCAGTCCATCTGAACGAGGCTGTTTATTGACTCTCTAAGCTGAAGAACAGTAACAGGCAGAAATCTGTTCTCATATGAGGAAACAGAATGATCTGCTTCAGACGGCCGACTGTTTCTCTCACAAGCTAACACTCCATATGTGCTCGCTAGACAATAATCCAGCATATTCATACTAATAAAGGGAGTGAAGTTCACTGATGGAGCCTCTTTCAGACTAAACTCAGTGTTACAGCAGGAATATTCAGAGAGAGACTCCCTCACACCTTCATCATCATCATGAAGGAGGTTCTTCATCAGGCAGCCGTGTTCTTCACACAGTCTTTTGGGGGGTAATGTTAAAGACTGAAGAAAAAGCTCTTTATGAAGGAGGTTTTGTATTAAACTACATCTGGAGACGTTTGGAACATTTAAAACATTCAGTTTGTTCTCTGACCACAAGAGGGCAGCAGCATCTAAATGGACTGAACCTGCTTTCATTCCTTTACTCCTCTTAAACTGAGAGCTTTTATGGCTTTAATGTCTGTTTTTCCTCTTTTTTCTTTTCTGTTTGTTCTCCACAATCTATCAGCTCAGTCGTCTCCATGTTCTTTAGTCCTGTCACGTTAAATGGAGCTATAAAGTCTCTCTGCAGCTACAAACCACAGACGCTGCTTCAAAGTGACCAAATTGACACTGTATTTACTCTTTTTGGAGATTGTGGCACTTATAAAATCATAGAAATAACTTTTTAAAACATTTTAAAAGCCTAAAAGGAATTGTTAACACAAACATTTAGACACAAATAACTTATGTTTTTAACTTTTAGAAACAAATCGTGTCTTCTAATTTCAGTAGATGGCGCTGTAGAGAAAATCAAACAGCCCTAATAATATACTGATGTGAATAAAGCAGAATATTAAACTGTGTTTACTGAAACAGGTTTTTCATTACAGTCTCTAAGAGCTGCATAGCTGCTCTTTCCATCACACAGACTGAGAGTCTCACAACAATGACGGAGTAAAACTTCTTACAGTGACAGAACAGCATTAAACAGAGCTTCAAGATCAACAGCTCCTCAGTGCAAATCCCAAATACACAGAACAAAAAGCTCCCTCAACAGTTTAACAGGATTTCAACCTCCTTACATGATTTACACTCTCAGCTCTTTACTGACTGATGCTGAGTGGACACTGCAGTGGACACACTGATGATGTATAGATCTCTCTTCTATCTAGACCTCACTGAAACGCAGTGGTGGACAGTAACTAGGTAAATGTAATTCATTACTGTACTTTAGTAGTTTTTGTGTATCTGTACTGAATTTTTTCCATTTTGGGGGACTTTTTACTTTCACTCCACTACATTTCAAAGTCTAATATCTCACTTTTTACTCCTCTACATTCTGAGAAATCTGTCCTTCCTTTTGACTTTTGTGCTCATAAAAATGTAACATGTCCAAACAAAAGAAGCGCAGAGCACAAACACTAATCAGGGCACAGCGCGCACTTTGTTTAGAGCTTGTTTTGACCTGTTGGACATACTGACCCTGTGCAAGCATATCCACACTGTACTTAGGTCACTTTAGCAGGTAAAGCAGGGCGGGGTTAATGCAGCACTGACTGACAATCACACATCAAAGAATCAGTGAACAGGTATAACATACGGCTCTGGACTTTGTGGGTAAACAGACCACAATATAGAAATATGTACTCATATGCAGTTGTGACTGACGGGTCTTTTTTCTGAATTTATACAAACACATTTCATTTTATAGTAAATTAGTTTGGGCTAGTTTATGTTTATGAACAGAGACCTACAGATGCAGTTTAGTAAAGGAAACTCATTTGTGAATCTGAGTTTAAAGTTTTTATTAAACTTAAACTGGTAACTAAGTTCAAATAAATCTTAAACTGAAACTCTGCTTGTTTGTAAAAAGTGATTTCAGAGCCACTCAGTTCTGCCTGATGGAAACTGTTTACCTTCAGAGTTTTGTGTTTATGATCATTTTAATAGACATCAGCGTCACTAATTAATGACCTTCTATTAAAAGACTGGTTTACCAAGAGAGACACTGGAGTATTTTCACCTAAACTGTGTTGATGAAGCGAGTCTGGTTTTAAAAATGATAATAGGACATCAGTGTTACGGGACGGCGGGGAGGCGGAGCCAAGTGCAGAAATGAAAAGCAGTGAGAAAGAGGACTAAATAAATGTACAGGTCAGTGGAGTGAGCGTCTGGAACGCTGTGATTGAGGTGACCCAGAGCCAGGCTCCAACCGCCGCTGTACTGACCGGTCCGTGGAGTTACCGCTGCGCCACCGGGACGCACAGGTGACGACGGGTACAGCACCTCAAGGAAGGGGAAACGAAAAGGCGGGAAACATCAAACAAAAGCTGAACTAGAAAGGTGAAATAAAAGAAAGAGAAAACGAAACACTCCTCCTCTGTCAGAACGAAGGAAGGTAGACTTTGTCTGAGCTGTTTGATCTCGGTGGAGTAAAAACACCTTTTCTGTTTCTTGGAGCCGTTTGTAGCTCAAGAACCTTTTTTTTTGGCTTTAAGTAGCTTTGGGGCAGTTTTATTCTTTGTAGCCCTGTTTTCGTCTTTCTTCAGTTTTAGGGCACTTTCTTTTCTCAGCCCTCTTTTCTTTTCTTTTCTTACACTAAGTACCTCACCAGTCACCCCTCTATAAAGGTGTGACAAATGCCACTGTTTGTCACGGCCTTAAGTAGATGAGTCTGCAGCTGTGTCGAGTTGGGCTTAATCAGCCCGTGGGCTTCTGGGAATTGGAGTTCCCTGAAGTGATGGCCCCGTGCCACCGCCGCCCTCTGCTGGCAGCAGGCGGGTCAGGCTGGACACCCTGCCGCCATCACCCTCTGCTGGCAGCAGGCAGGGCCGGCTGAACCCTTACAATTAGAGTCATAATTAATCTTTTAATCTTTCACTTTCAATGCTTAAGTACATTTGAGGGAAAATACTTGTGTACTTTTACTCAAGTGGAGCTCTAAAGGGAGGAGCTTCTACTTTTACTGGAGTAATATTTTACCTTGGGTATCTCTACTTTAACTCAAGTACGTGGTTTGTGTACTTCGTCCAGCACTGCTGAAATGATGGACACAGTGAAGGTGTGGAAGTGAGCTGGTTGTGAGCTGAACGTGAGCTGTGTGATGGACTCTCAGTGTGGGCTGTGTTGGAGCAGCTGAGGGAAACTGATAGAGCTGTAGGCTGTAGCTGCAGTAACAGATGGATGAGCTGAACAGGAATAAGAGACTTTCACACTTTGAGTACTTTGTAAAAGTAGTGATGGCTGAAAACTGAACACACTTTTCTAAATGTGCTCAGTAACAGATTCAGTTCCAGCACATAAAAACACATTCAGAACACAGTTAGAAACATCTTGATAAGGAACATGGAAAAACTCTGCTTTTGTCCTTTTTACTCACTTTACATTCTTCCTGCTGTGACTGGTTGGTAGTTTTCTTCACTGAATTATTTTCTTGATGTGTATAAAAATAATGTGAATAAAAAAATATAATGTGCATGAAAAATCGCTTACCACTTGAATTTTAATTCTTCACATTTTTCTTCTACTTCATTCCACTGTTGCCCCCGCAATCCCCCAAGACCACTTTATCCTGTATATTCAGCAAAAGTGGGACAGTACTAAAGATTCACTTTGTCAAGACTTCAGTGTAATTTGACATCACCTACACATTGTCAGACAATTACGGTCCACTTTTACTAAACTCACTGTACCATAACATTACAATTAAATTACTGTCAATATTTGCCATATGTGTCACATTTGACTATAAATCGAGTATCTATGTGGTTCTTAGTTAATGACATCATCATGCCATGCAATGCATAAAAGTCCTATGCAACATTAATAATCAGCTTATCACCCGTGTCACTCGTGTCCACGACTGAGGAGACTGTTCTGTTCAATCGTCCCACAAAAGAGCTCAGAAACACTGAGATAAATAACGAGATCATCAGATTTATCAGTCTACTCGGGCTTTAGTAGGAACTTCAGTGTTTTCAAAGAAACTGCTTGTTGAGTTTATTATTAAGAGTTAATCGAATGAGCATGTCTGCTATATGCCATTCACTGATTTTAATATAGTAAATAAAGAAGCATTTATGGTTTATAAACTGAATATGTTCTAAACGTATTCTCATAAATACATAAATATACAAAAAAGTAACTGTATTCTGAATACTGCCTTCTCAAAATGTAAGAAGAACCGAATACAGATACTTAATTTCTATATTCTGTATAGTTCTCTGCTATTTCCCAACCCTGTTTGCAGATATGAGGACGCAGTGTAACTGGAATGATGAAAAAATCAGCATCAGTACGATCTGTTCTCACTCTCTACAGACTAAGTGAGTTTTATGAGTTTTGTGACTGAAATATGAAATAAACACATCATGATGACGATGGAGCTCCATGATGTTTAATTACAATTATGAATAACAGTACATACAGTGTTCACACACACACACACACACACACACACACACACACACACACACACACTGCAGGTTTTCGTTCCAAACAGGCTCCTGATTCTACTTGTTTTTTCAACAGACTTTTTACCCTATAAATGATGAAACACTTCTGAAGAGATGTGTAAAAGGTGTGATTGTAAGATCTGACCAGATCTGAAATGACCTCTAAATATCTCAAAGTGTTAAATGCTGTAAAATATCTAAACCGTGTTTGGGCTGGGCGGCACGGTGGCGGAATGGGTAGTGCTGTTGCCTCACATCAAGAAGGACCTGGAATTGATTCCCGGCTGGGCGACTGGGGTCCTTTCTGTGTGGAGTGTGCATGTTCTCCCTGTGTCTGTGTGGGTTTCCTCCAGGTGCTCTGGTTTCCTCCCAAAGACATGTAGTCGGGCCAATTAGATACGCTAAATTACCCGTAGGTGTGAGTGTATGTGTGAATGTATATGTCCGTGTGTCTGCCCTGTGATGGACTGGCGACCAGTCCAGGGTGTTTCCTGCCTTCCGCCCAATGACCGCTATGATAGGCTGCAGCTCCCTCCGCAACCCAGAAGGATAAGCGTCTTAGAAAATGTGTGTGTTTGGGCTGATGCAAAGACAAAAGAAGTTCAAGATATCAGAGGACTTGACACAAATGTGCGAAGGAGGCCAGGAACAAGCTTTGACCACTAGTGGAACAACCCAGAAAGGATGGTAAGCGTGCAAGATTTAAGGGACCATTTGCTGTAATTGATGGCAAGAAGGTTACTGTGGGATCTATTTGATTTAAGAGGGCCTGACATGTCACTAACAGGGAGCTTGGCGTTTTTGCTCTGAAACTCCTGTGGATTACCCCAACCATTAGACTGGAACAAGGTTTCCTTTAAGTTTTGATGTTATTTGCAGTGCCTAAAGGCAGAAGACAGAGTCTGAACAAGTGAAGCAGACAGTAAAAAGCTGCAGTCACTGAAAAATAATGAAATGCCTTTTTTGTTGAGAAAGCTAAAGGAGCTTTTCTCAGATTTAGAGCAACACAGCTTGAGTTTGGGGGGGAAATCATCAGATTTCTTCAATTTGGAAAAAGAAAGAAGTAAAAAACATCATCTCTTTATATTAATGATAAACTTACATCTGATAAACTTTTTTCTCCAATTATGTTCAACAACTCCAGCTCAGATCCTCTCTGATCTGGCCTTCACAAGCAGTGAGGAGAGAAGCATTTCTGCTGTAACAGGTCATCCAGAATCCGGGCTGGTTCACCCTCCAATCACCCATCACTTTGTGATGGGTGATCGGTTTCGCACTCTGGACACTCTTTATCACCCCATTCTCTCACAGACAGCAGAACTGGGTTTAAATGAACTTCGCAGTTTTAGTCCTGGCTGAGGACAAAGGTGTTCTGTCCTAATCCTCAAGGCCTGTCAGTCAAGTTAAATGAATCTTCAGTCTTTTCAAAGTGTTTGGCCACTGGAAATACGGAATTCCATGCTTTTGCAGATTATCCTGTAGGAATGCATGGTAGCAACATTTACTGAAAGAGTTTCTGACTGACCGTCGCCCTCAGAGTCTGGAGAATCCATGATGTTCACAAACGCTTTGCAGATACAATACAGACACAGGTAAACTGTGATTTTCAACAAAGACCCACAAGCTAGAGAGACATTCAGTAACGTTACTGTGTAATATCTGTGTGTGTGGTGTGTTGTTCAGTTAGCTGTTGGACTGGTTGCACAGGCTGTTAATGAGAGATGGTACAATGTGGCACATCCACTTATGAAAGCAGTACATTTTTTAACCCAGTGAACTGACCAAGCACAGGCTGTCTAAGGTCTCACTCATCTCCCTTTGAAGCCTTTTAGCAGCTTTTTTCATCTGTCTCTTTTGATAACAGTGAACTCTCTCTCTGATACAACATGGTGAAAAGCCATTATACACTAAAACAACACAGTAAAATAGTGAAGTAATGATGAAACTCTGGAAGTGTCACTGTAGAGGTCATCTTTATGTCCTCCTATGAGCTCCTTATACACATGCGTACACTTCATAAGAGTAACTATATCAACTCTACAGTGCAGTGAACTTGAAGTTTGTGTTCAGTTTTCTACACAGGATCAATGATCACAGTAAGCTTTAGCATGATGCTAACTGCTCTTACCTCGTGCTGTTTTCATATAGTCATATGGCTGTTGGAGGTGAAACATGTCCACGTTATGGATTTCAGAGTGAAATGCTCGTCTAGTTTCACTTTAATGTTCTTTAGAGTTGCTGTGTTTGATCGTCTAACCTACCCGACTGGTTTAAGAGTTTCCAAAGCAACTTCCTCAAACCCTCCCAAAACACTCCACATTCCTACTTTATCCAGACAACAACAACCAGAGTCCGTTCACGCCAGTGGGGAATGATTACATGTCGGCCATTGTTTTTCCTTTTGGAGTTTACAGTGAATGTGTGGTTCTTTTTTGTGATTTGAAGGCTGTCTGTGATGATTATGAGCAAAAACGAACATTTTCTGTGGAGTGATTTTCATGAGGAAGCAGTTGTGCTGAAGGTGTGTTCAGCTGTGGGGATTTCCTGTACAGGCTGCTCGTTTCAAGAAGCAGGAGAGGTGAAGTGGATGGCATGACTGGACACCTCACTTATGCAAACAGGAACTGCAACATTTTTTCATCACATTGATTTGAACAGGCAGGCTCTATGACCTTCGGTTACCTTCGTACCTACTGCTCATTTCTCTCCCTTCACAGCCTTCTTTCAACCTTTCTTTTAGACTTTTTCTTCTTTCTCTGTCATTCACCTGCTTTTCATATCTTACATTCCTCTTTTTTTGGTTAATGCTGCTGATTTCAATATTTTATTTTTCATAGGTTTTAATAATTTTTCAAACCTTACTGCCTTTCTTTCTGTCTGTGTTTTAAACTATGAATGTAAATGTTTAATGCTGCAGTCTATATGAATCTGAAACGGCTTTGCTGTAAATGTTTCATACTGTTTTAAATTTTAAATACTGTATTTTTTTTTCTGCAGTGAACTTCATTCTAGTAATATAAAATCTTTAGTCTTGATTTCAACAAACCCAATTCCAAACAGCTGGGGCAGTAAAATACAAACAAAAGTAGAAAGCAATGATTTTGAAACTTTTTTTTAAACAAATGTTTAATTGAAAACAGCACAAAGAAGAGCTATGTTACCTCTAAAGATATTTTTAATATTTATTTATACATAAACTGTATTTATTTTTATAAATTGTAAATCTGTAAATATGTAAATTCCATATTTGATGCCTGCATTCCAAAAACGTTTGCTACAAGGGCAAGGTACAATTTGAAGCTTGTGGAATGACCAACAACATCTGTTTTGGAACTTTCCACAGGTGAACTGGTGAAAAGTAAACAGATGATCCTATAATTATTGAGCTGAAAAGGAGCATCCACAAGCTCAGTTGCCACTTTGCATAAAACTGTGTGAGTGAATAATCTAATAGTTTAAGAATAATGATTCTCCATCCATGACTGAGAAGGAATTTAGGGATTTCACCATCTACAGTCCATAGCATATTACAAGATTCAGAGAAAATCAGTACTGAATGCTTGTGATCTTCTTCAAACATACTTCTGTAATCAATGCAGCCACATGGATTCAGAAATACTTTGGAAAACCCTTGTAACACACAGTTCATCGCTGCATCTACAAATGCAAGTTACAACTCTACTATATACAGTGGAAGGCATATATCAACAGCATCCTGAAACACTGGTAACTTCTCTGGGCTAAAGCTTGTCTGAATTGGACTGCTGCACAGTGGACATGTGTGCTGTGGTCTGACCAGTCCATCTTTCAAATTGTTTAAGGAAATAAAGGATGTTGTGTTCTCTGGGCCAAAGAGATAAAGGTCTACTCCGTTGTTACCAGTGAAAAATTCAAAAGCCAGTGTCTGTCATGGTGTGGGGGTGTGTCAGTGTCAATGGCATGAGTAACTTGCACATCTGTGAAAGCACCTTCAATGCTGAGGAGCACAATTTGAAACAGCATATGTTACCGTCTAGTAGACATCTTTTTCAAGGATGTCCCTGTTTGTTGAAAAAAAAAAATGTCCTTTGTCCCCATAGGGTTGATTGTCCAACTTCATCAGAAGTCTCTAACTTCCTCATAAACCTAAGGTCTAGCTCTGAAACCACTGTTCAGCTCTATAGTAGCTGTTACTTACTCTGACTACTGTATAAGACTGAGGCCTAGACGTATGTATCAGCAGCTAGAAAGCTAGGCTTAGAGGTTTCGATTCACTCCAACTTCATAAGCATAAGGCTTTGCTCTAAACCTATTATGTGTTCTACTACATCAGATGCCAGATACCCAGCTGTGAGGCTCCTGATGCCTTTTCTAAACAAATCTCAAGCTTAAAGCCCAACCCTGTGCCCACTATTACTCACTCTAACTTCACCATAAATTGAAGCCAAGCTCTAAACCCATCGTCAATTACTCTGATCACAATTTAAGTCTGAGGCCTAGCTGGAAAGCTCCCTTTGCTTTCTCTAGCTTCATTGTAAGCTTAATGGCATGTCTTGTACCTACTTTTGCCATATCACCAGGACATCTACATAAACTTGATGATTAGATTAGATTAGATTAGATAATCCTTTATTAATCCCACAATGGGGAAATTTGCAGTGTTACAGCAGCACAGAAGACAGAGCAGCAGGAAATATACAAACAATATATAAAATAGAATAAACAATAAAAGTATAAAGATATATATGTATATGTACAAAGATTCTCTCTCTTCCTCCTTTCCTTCACATGAACTACACCAAGAGCCAAAGCCATATGCTCATTTTAACTTCATCATAAGCCTGAGGTCTGGCTAACCAACTACTTTCTCACAGTAATGTCATCATTACCCTGAGGCCCAGCTGCACAGCTACCTTAACACACTCTGACTACTTCTGAAGACAAAGACTCAGTGACAATTCTATGTAAAACTACTTTTGCTTACTCTACCATCAGCAATAACCTAAGGCTTAGCTCTTAACCTACCTGTACTAACTGACACCTCATCATTAACCTAAGGCAGGGGTGTCCAGTCTTATCCACAAAAGGCCGTTGTGGCTGCAGGTTTTCACACCAAACAAGCTGGAGCACAGCTGACTTCACTTGTTTAATTAGTTGTTCTAGAGTGAAAACCTGCAGCCATACCAGCCCTTTAGAGATAAGATTGGACACCCTGGCCCAAGGACTACTTTCACTTATTCTAACAGCATCATGCATATCTATATTTTTTACCACTCTGCCATCCTTCTGCACATTATATGTAAATAATACTGTATTTTGCACTTCTCGTTAGATGCTAACTGCATTTCATTGGCTCTGTACAATGACAAAGTTAAATCTAAACATGAGCCTAACGCCTGGTTCAACATCACAGACCTAAGGCTTAGATTGTAACCTATTTTAGCTAACTCCCATTTCCTCATACGTCTCTGACCTAGCTGTAAACTCGTTTATACTCAGTCTAACTTCAGCATGACTTTGAGGCCTTGCCCTAAATGTAGTTTTATTCACTCACACACCCTTTTACTTGGATTAAATACATCAGAAGCCTGGGGCCTTGCTACACACCAGTTCATACTTCTTGGAGCTTCATCATAAGCCAAAAACCTAGGTCCAAATTTATCATTGCTTAATCTGGCTCTTGACAACACACCACACTACACAGTATTCCAACTATTCCCTGGCCCACCACACCTGATCCAGCTCATAATCAAATTCAATCAATTGTTATTGGGGTGGAAACAGAAAAAAATTACAAACATCAGCACTGAACAGGGTTAAGAAACAATGCTTTAAATTTACCAGCCTAAGAACTGGCTGGAGATAAACCTTTACTCACTCAACTGCAGCATAACATGTACTATAGCCTTCATTTGTTTGCCAGTTATTAGTAATATTTTTTAATGCAGTTTGAGTTTTCTCCATTCATCACACACAAACAAACGAGAAAGAAAAGCTCTCTAAGCGAAACCGTGGGTGGCTCTTAAAAAAGCCGTTGGGTTGATCAAGTCTTCCTCACTTCTTACTTGGAGCTCGTGTACTTGGTGACGGCCTTGGTGCCCTCGGACACGGCGTGCTTGGCCAGCTCACCAGGAAGAAGCAGGCGCACGGCGGTCTGGATCTCCCTGGACGTGATGGTGGAACGCTTGTTGTAATGAGCCAAACGGGACGACTCACCGGCGATGCGCTCGAAGATGTCGTTGACGAACGAGTTCATGATGCCCATCGCCTTGGCGGAAATGCCGGTGTCGGGGTGCACCTGCTTCAGCACTTTGTACACATAGATAGCGTAGCTCTCCCTCCTGGACTTTCTGCGCTTCTTGCCTCCTTTGCCGGCCGTCTTGGTCACGGCTTTCTTCGATCCCTTCTTCGGCGCGGACTTCGCGGGTTCAGGCATGACTCTTCTCTTCGTCGAGTAGAACCGAAGAATGAGAAGGAGCGCCCAGCACCGGCTTATCTACACTCCGATATTCAAAACAGACCAAGCCCCGCCTTCACATTGCTGTCAAACGGTCATTAGACAACAATCAACTGCTCGCTTGGCGGACAACCCCCAGCTCTCGCCCAGCTCCCCTCCTCTTCTTAGTCCTCCTCCCCTCCTCTCAGCGAAAGACTTTCCCTTTGATTCTTATCTACTGTGTCCAGCTATTCAGAACATACAGTTTTATTATTTTTCATAAAATTGTGATACATTTTTAAACACGTTTGAAAGACTGAGTCCTGCCTAAACAAATATATCTACTCTATCTATACTTAAAACATTCTTAGAAAACTAAACTACTGAAAAATTATTTATGCCATAGTCATTCCGTGTTTGAGTTTTAAAAAATCCATGTAACGCATACAAATTTCTTGTAAGGGATTTTGAACAGATCTATCTGGTTCTGCTGGAGAACAGCGTTGGCGTTTGACCGTTGCTGCTGTAAAATGTAGAACTTGCGGTGCTTTGACGATGAACAATAACAACTTTACTTACTAAACGACTTCAGGTTTCAGAAAACGCTGTTAGAGTAACTCAGAGTAACACAATCTAAATATAAAATACTCTCCATCACTCTCTACTGTTCTAGCACTATATTAGGTCATTATGACGTTTTGGATAACAAAAAATAAGTTTGGATTTCCGTCACCGCTGTATAAAATACACGGAGCAGCTCTTCTGGTGGGCGTGTGGGGGGCTCTTAAAAGAGCCGTTGGGTTTAGCGTTGTTCGAGTCGAGCGTTTAACCTCCGAAGCCGTACAGGGTTCGGCCCTGACGCTTCAGAGCGTAAACCACATCCATAGCGGTGACGTCTTCCTCTTGGCGTGCTCGGTGTAGGTGACGGCGTCCCTGATCACGTTCTCCAAAAACACCTTGAGCACGCCGCGGGTCTCCTCGTAGATCAGACCCGAGATACGCTTGACGCCGCCACGGCGAGCCAGACGGCGGATGGCCGGTTTGGTGATGCCCTGGATATTATCGCGGAGCACTTTGCGGTGACGTTTAGCGCCTCCTTTACCCAGACCTTTACCGCCCTTACCTCTTCCAGACATGGCCGCTGCTTCTTCTTCGTGCCGAAGTACAAAGACCGAATGAAACGCTGCGCCGCTGAACGCGCCTGTTATGCTCCTCTACAGGACCTAGTTGAAACCAAGGCACAGGAGGCGGAGTTACACACAACAGACACTACAGAGAAAACACACAAAGCAAATAAATAACACACACATCATTACAACTATTTACCACTGTCATTATTAGTGTTTCACAGGCTTCTAAATCTCATGTCATTTAAAGACAAAACGTCAAAAATTATCCATCGTACAAAAGAAAAAGAACCGAGAAAAAAGAAAGAAAGAAAGAAAGAAAGAAAGAAAGAAAGAAAGAAATGTATCAGCTGCAATACAATTCATTTTAATTTAAGAAAATATTTCATAATTATAAATCAAAGTGGGTTTATCTAGGCTGATCTAAATATGAAGAAACACTCTGTTATGGAGTAAGAAATCTGTAAGAATAATATAATGCCAGAACATATGAACATGAATGTGTGTGTGTGTCTGTGTGTGTGTGTGTGTGTCTGTGTGTGTGTGTGTGTTATGTATACAGTGTAGTGTTACATATGAAATGTTTGTTGTAGGAAATAAAGCCCTTATGCATGTCAATGATGAAGCTTGGGCGCTTCTTGTGGTCAAACCGTCAACTGGCAAGTCTGAGAAAGACCATCAGACTCCTTACTGTAAATGCTGAACTACTGTATGAAATGATGTGATTTGGTTATAATTACTCTAAAATTATTGTCATTTTATTTACAGAGCCTCACAAACACAGTAATTCAAGAAGTCACTCAGAAACACAATATTTTCACACTTTACAAAAGTATCTCTTATTCTACCACTTATTCTGCACTGTTTTCTCTGATCAGCACATTAATCATTAAACTACATATTCGGTGCTGCTTTTATAAATTACTCATATCACTAAAAGCGTGCTTGCGTGTGTGTGTGTGTGTGTGAGTGTGTGTGAGTGTGTGTGTGTGTGTGTGTGTGTGTGTGTTTGTGGTGTTTGGTAAATACTGAGCGGAGTTCCAGTGTGTCTCATGCTCATATTACCAACCTGTGCTGCACATTTCATTCTCAAGCTACTCATTTCCTTGATCAGGTACTGACGAGTTGATTCTCATTGTTGTCTTTTCTCCTTTCTATAACGGGGAGACTGGAAACTCCTTACTGCACTACAGACTCTGCTCAAACACTGAAAATGTTGATCTCACAAGCCGATACAGAGACTGTAGCTCTGACTGAATCCTGGTTAAACAGGCTGTGTCTCACTCAGAAGCCGCCCTACCTGCTTATGATCTATTCTGAGCTGACAGGAGATCAAGAAAGGCTGGAGCGACTGTTTACATCAAATCTATCAGTCAAGTGAAAACTCTTAATTCAGCATCCAAAGAAAGATATCTGGAGTTTTTAAGCCTTAAAAGTGTGCTCAGGCCGCAGTGACAGTTTTGTGGTAGTTGGAACGATAGACCTCGTTCTACTCCTCTCATACTGTAGATCAGAGGTTCTCAACCTTTTCTACCCCAAGGCCCACCTGTTTATAAGTACAAAGAATAGCGGCCCACAGAAAAACTCAAATCAACTTTTTACATACGAATTTCTTTTTCTCTTCTGAAGTGTTAAAACTGAAAACCTGGCAGAAGGATGAGCGGTTTAGATGATGTGTGTGTGTGTGTGTGTGTGTGTGCGTGCGTGCGTGCGTGCCGTGCGCAAGCGCAAGCAATATGTGTATGTGTATGTGTATGTAATATGTATATTTATGCTTATGAATATCTTTTCCAAAAAGCAGTTGTTCAGAATATGCTTTAAAACAAATCAATTATTTGTTCTGTGTGCTGTACGAGCAATTGCGCCACACCAGTAGGTGGCGATAACGCTTGATGGTTCACAGAGGTTTCCCAACAGCAACAGAATCCAAATGCAACTTAACGCGTACAGAATCTTACACGTTTAAAACGTAATATTAATATTAATTTTAATGTTAATATCAATATTAATGTGTTAGCTCGGAGGTTCGCTCGTGATTCGATCCCAAAAACGATCTGCCGTTAAACGAATTCTGATTTCACGGTGACTTTAAGCGGTAGTGACGTGTGCAGCTGAAGGGGCGCGAGGCGAAGTGTCCTAATTCTGCCCTGGACACTCCTAGTTCACTCGTTCCGCTCTTGCTTCGACGGCGCCATAAAAGCGCGCACTCCAAGGAGGGCCTTGGGGCGGGAATCGGGGCAGGACCGAAAAGGCGCGCGCCGATTGGCGGGAGAGCAGAACGGGCGCGTGTGTATTTTGAATCTCAGCGCGAGGAGGTTCGGACACGCAGTGCGGTTTTTCGGAGCGGACGAAGTGAAGACGGAACCGATGGAGAGGGAGATGGAGATGGAGATGGAGGAGATGGAGGCGGCGGCGGCGGCGGCGGCGGCGGCGGCGGCGGCGGCGGCGGCGGCGGCGGAGAGACTGCAGCGGTAAGTGAGCAGGGCCGGCTCAGTTAGCCTCACAGCTAACGGGCTAAGAGCTGTGAGGCTGGTCAGCCGCTCATACACAGTAATAGCGCGGCGGTGTTTGTCAGCGCCGGAGACCCGCTGCTCTGCTCGGCTACTGAGCTGCGTAGCCGGCTCGGTGGGTCAACAGCGGGGAAACACTAAAGTTCAGGCAGCGGGTCTCCAGAACCAGCGCTGAGAAACACAGACTACACCGAGCTGAAGTGTCTTAGTCCCCTTCGTCGTTCCACCTTAAATGGTGTTGCGGTCAGAGCAGAGACGTAAGGAGGCGCCAGAGTAAAGGAGTAAAGCTGCTGCACCATTTAAGGTGGAACGGGAAATTCTGCTAAGCTGCTAACTTTAGCCTCGTTACAGTAAAACCGCTGAAAATCCACCGTTCCTCAAAAAACTCGCTTCAAACTTAAACTAACAGCTCCGTGATGATGAAACCTGAGGGAGATGTCGATGCTGTTACTACAATACTACGACTTACACTATGATTGCTTTGTCTATTTTGAGGTCCAGGCTTTTGACCAAGAAAATCAATTTTTCTGTTTTGAGACCCTGAACGTGGTGCACCAGTTTGTTGTGGTTGTGATTTCACAGAAAATTGGTGTTGGATTGCTTCTGGTTAGTCTAACTCAGTGGTCACCAGTCCTGCTCTGGGGGTTCTCACAATTAGATATTTTCCCAAATCATACAGAGCATACAGCGAGTTAATTAATGAGGACTGAGGTCTCTGAGACAAGTGATCTACTGGAAAGCCTTATTAATCAACCTGTGTAGAACAGAAGTACAGCTCTGTAGAACGAAGAACATTTCAACACGGAACAGAAATCAAACTGAATCTTCAGTGTGTGTGAGTATCACAGAACACGATTCAGTGATTCAGAAATAAAGAGTGGACGCAAATCATGAACACTGCAGATTAAATGACAACTTAATGACTTATGATTTATTTCTGTGTTTATTTTCAGATCTCTCAACATCGATGGTGACGAGAAAGCACGCAGGTATCTCTCTCTCTCACACACACACACACTCATACACACATGCTCACCCTCACAGTGAGAAAATCAGACAGAAGATCTGAAAATGATTCTTTAAAATTCCAATATTCTGAATAATTTAACTGTAATCTATAGTGTTAACTGTTAACCCCAAATCAGAAAAATGGAACGGTGTGTTAATTAAAACTGAAAATGGTGATTTGTAAATTAATTCTGACCTGTATTACAGAGACCGTGTTGACATGCAAAGATTTTAGCCAATCTGAATGAATTCATTCAGATTATAGATTAGGACTAAGTTGTTTATATGCTCACTCTACAGTCTGCTGAAAATCTAACCTAAATCTAATTTAATATAGATCTGACCTAAAATTAAGCAAATGTACAAAGTACCACTTAATGTAGATGTTATTGTGACACCAAGCATCACGTGAGTCCAGAGTGAGGTAAACAGTAGTGAGTTGCTTGAGTTATCAGTGGTGTTAGTAATTTGCTTTATAGTTTGTGTAAAGCTGCTGTCGTTCATTTGCTCATGTACTCGTCTGAACAGCTTGTCATGGCATGTTTTACCACCGTCCTTCCTGCTGACTATTTCTAAGTCTTGTAAAGTTTAAAGCGTGACCAGTTTCTCTCCTTCCCTCCCTTGTTCAGTCGGATAGAAACTGCGTTCGGAATGGCTTTAATCGGACTAGTCTATTCCGACTGAGGTGTTTACATGGTTGTGTTTCGATTGAGCTATTAGTTGGATTGTTTACAGATTATTAGGCTGCTTGTAAACATGGCCAGTGAAAACAATACAGAAGCACATTGATGTTTTGGCTCATGACTTATTATGATTATTTCATTGTATCCTGAATTTAAAATGTTGGGACAGTCAAACAATCAGCGCTTTGTAATGTTGCCGTTTAGGGGTGTAACAGTGGGTATGTGTATTCATTTCGAACCATCACCGTGCGATTCATACAGTCATATGAAGAATTTGCGTTATCCTGTGTGTGAACATTGACAAACGTCATGCAGAACCAAATTTTACAAGCGGGAATTCAACCTGGAAACCCTAAGCTGTGAGCCGTTAGTAAGGTTGCTAAGTTTAGCTCAAGCTGATTGGTGTCTGAGTCAGTCACACTGCGGCGAGTGTAAATGACACAGGAGCTGCACTTTTAAAGATGGATCTTCAAGAGTTCTCTGGTATAGGTAATGGTTCTATTTAGAACAACGAAACACTCGAACCGTCTGCATGCCTAAATGAGTCTTTGCATGGGAAGTTGATTCTTCAGACTGATGGAGAGAGCTGTTAGTGGTTCTGTATAGCACCAAAAGGGGTTCTGTTATTCTATTAAAGTTTGACATTGTAACTGTCGCAGAACACTTTTTGGTGCTATATAGAACCATTTTCAAAAAAGGTTCTATATAGAACCATCCACATTCTCCATTAACCTGAAGAACCATTTTGCCATGCAGAGATCCATTTAAGCACAGAATTGTTCTTCCTTCTAAATACTCGTTCGTTTGGCGGGTATTTGGTTTTTAGTTGTGAGATTTTGATTTCTACGCTGTCAGTAAAGGCAAACTGCGAAATACTGTAGCGATTTCTGTGAATGAAGAAGACTGAGCGGTTCCGCACAAGCTGCTGAGCTTCAGGCTGCATTTGTCTCCAGCTTTGCCTCACGCATTAAATGATGATTTCTCTAACAGTTCACTCTGAGCCTCACTACATCTAGCTTGCTCAGCTGCCAGCAGTAGACTGACACAGCTCTTCCTGAGCGGAGCATAAACCAGTGTAAAAATCAGGCTAGTTCCACCTTCACTATGAGTCCTTCCGGAAAAACCCAGGAAATAACCCTGTGAAAAATGAACCCCAATGACATGTACCCCATTTTCTCTGCTTGGTGTGGTACATTTTGTAAACATGTTCTAGTGCTAGCTGCTAGCAAACTTGTTTTCACATGATAAAAGCACGGTTTACTACTGTTAAAAGTATTGTTCTTCATTCACCAAGCGTTTGTAAGAAGAAATTTCCCACTTAGGCAGTTTTCGCAAAAATTCTGATATTTACCAATGAATGAATGAATAAATAAATAAACGTAATAACGTTTGTAAAGCTTGTATGGTGTCTTCGTGTGTTTTCCAAGAAACAGAAGCGCAAACTTTTTTTGTTTTTTTTTTTCGTCTTCATTGACCAACAACTTTTAACAGTGGCGTAGAATAGCAGAATCTTTGAAAATTAGTGCTATCCATCAGAAAGTCCTACCCATGTCAGGCTTGGCCTATCCCTCACAGGTGTAGCTACTGTTAAGTATGGCCAAAACACAAAACTCACAACAGCCCAAGATTCTCTGTAACGCTACACGTTTTAATTAAATCGAGCTAGAATTCAAGTTGGCTAAGAAATTAATAGTTGACTAATTTTGTACTTAAATGGTTGCCAATGATGAAAACAGCAATAAAATGTTAAACACATGCATGTATGTATGTGGTGTGTGTGTGTGTGTGTGTATATATATATATATATATATGTGTGTATGTTCCAATACAAAACAGGAAATAGTAAAGAACAAGAAATAAGAGATCAGACTTAATATAGCTGAAACCCAATCCATTCAATTATAACAGAATCAGATCGGGATTTAACGCTTTTCGCACATTTGCCTCTCCATTATCAGTTGCGTCGTCAATGGGGCTCAGAAATGAAGACTGAATATTACACTTTTTAATCAAATGTTTGGATATATTCAAATCTTAGGGGTTAATTAGGTGATGTCATTGTAAAGCCATGTTACATTACTTTATGGTTTGTGGTCAGTAATATGTTAACTGGTTTTTTTGTAGTCATCTTATGTGATTGCATAACAAAACTCCTGCTGTGGAACATACAGGCAGCTGCAGCAGAGGCTTTACGTTTTCAAGTTGTGCATTATTTATATTTAAATTGATAAATATTTGATTTTGGAGTTGTATTTCAAGGGCGTTTGAGAGTATATTTAACTGGATGAAAGAATGAACATCATTAAGATGAAGGCTTTAATTCATGTGGCTCGTTAAATCATGATAAAAACCAACACCTTTTAATAATCCTGCCAAGTTTCTTTCATCAAATTAATGTAATATTTTTATAAATGTATATCAGAACCGGCAGAAAGGTACATGAAAAATATCAGACATTGACTCACAGTTCGCTGGTCAGTGCATCTGTAATTAGTTTTTATGGTCAGAGTGAACCTTGTTTACTGAAGGCGGGTTAAGTTAGGCGTGTTTGTAAAGACGATGTAATGATGTGAAAACTGTCTAATTTTGTTTGTGTATGTGTTCAGGTACCAACAGGAGGCTAAAGAAGCGGCCCAGCAGGGGGATCTAGAACGTTCCCTGGAGCTTTTCCGTCTGGCGTATAAGCTGCAGCCCAGCGCTAAGCTAAAGAACCGAATCCAGCGACTGCAGGAAGCCATGCAGGAACAGGAAGAGGAAGAAGAAGAGGAGGAGTTCATCAACGTAAACGACAGCGGTCTAAAGCTGTTTAAGGAACTCTATAATAAACTGTACGACCATCAGAAAGAGGGCGTGGCCTTCCTCTACAGCCTGCACAGGGATGGGCGGCGGGGTGGCATACTGGCAGACGATATGGGCCTCGGTAAAACCATCCAGGTAGTTTCCTTCCTGTCAGGAATGTACGATGCTGAGCTGGCCAAGCACACGCTGCTGGTCATGCCCACCTCGCTCATTAAAAACTGGATGCGGGAGTTCGCCAAGTGGACCCCGGGGATGCGGGTGAAGGAATTCCATGGCACCAGCAAAACGGAAAGAAAACGGAATCTGGAGAGGATCCAGCAAAAGGGGGGAGCCATCATAACCACTTACCAAATGGTCATCAACAACTGGGAACAGCTGTCAATGTTCCAGGAGCAGGAATTCTGCTGGGATTACGTCATTTTGGACGAGGCACACAAGATCAAAACCCCGTCCACCAAAACGGCAAAGTGCGCTCGTGCCATCCCGGCCCGGCACCGCTTGCTTCTGACCGGCACGCCCGTCCAGAACAACTTGCAAGAAATGTGGGCACTGTTTGATTTCGCCTGCCAAGGTGCGCTGCTGGGCACTGCGAAAACATTTAAGACGGAATACGAAAACCCCATCACTCGCGCCAGAGAGAAAGACTCTACGCCAGGAGAGAAAGCCCTGGGCCTTAAAATCTCCCAAAACCTGATGGAGCTCATAAAGCCATATTTCCTTCGCCGGACGAAGGATGAGGTGCAGCAGAAGAAGCGGAGCGCTAAAAGAGCTGAAGAGGAAGAAAAAGAGGAAACAGAGGAAAAAGAGGATAAAGAGAACAGCTGTCCAAATGTAGGTGATCCAGCCGAAATGCCCTCGCTGACCCGTAAGAACGATTTAATCATCTGGACATACCTGAGCCCAGTGCAGGAGGACATTTATAAACAGTTCATTTCTCTGGATCACATCAAAGAGCTGCTGATGACAACTCGCTCCCCGCTGGCCGAGCTGACCGTGCTAAAGAAGCTCTGTGACCATCCTCGTCTGCTCTCCACTCGAGCCGTCACTCAGCTGGGCCTGGAGGAGGGGTCGGCCGCTGACCACGCCCTCCAGGAGGATGAGAGCGAATCCGCAGCCGGCCGTATCGACCACATCTCGGACGAGACTCTGCTGGAAGAATCTGGAAAACTGCGCTTCCTCATGTCTCTGCTGGAACGTCTCAGAGAGGAAAATCACCGGACACTGGTGTTTTCTCAGTCCAGGAAGATGCTGGACATTATTGAGCGTATTCTGCGGAACCGGAACTTTCGAATGCTGCGAGTGGACGGCACAGTGACCCAGCTGGCTGAGAGAGAGAGACGCATTGCCCTTTTCCAGACAGACAGACGCTATTCGGTCTTTCTTCTGACCACGCAGGTGGGCGGAGTCGGGATTACGCTGACTGCTGCTAACAGGGTGGTGATTTTTGACCCCAGCTGGAATCCGGCGACGGACGCGCAGGCAGTGGACCGAGCATACCGAATTGGACAGACGGAAAACGTCGTCATCTACCGGCTCATCACCTGCGGCACTGTGGAGGAGAAAATCTACCGCAGACAGGTATGTCTTTTAATATGTAAGTGCCTGATGTAAGGCACCAATTTTTGTAAGGTTACAGCGATTCCGCAGTCACTGTCACGTTTGTCACAAGAAATTTGGATGTGTTTAACGGTGCCTATAAATAAAAGAAAGCAGAAAATAAACATTTTTGAACATGTAATAGGTCCTAAGAAAAACAGATGTATGCTTTTCTAATGGTGCTGTAACAACTTTAAGTAAGTTAAGGTGAGTAATGTTTGACTTCCAGCTGTTTCTGTTGTCAGTTTGAAGTATTGACAGCTAGGAAGTAAGATAGCTAATCAGCTAATTTGGCTCTTTTAGGTTTGTACTTTAATAGATGTAAACTACATTTTCCATAAAACAGTGAGGCAAAGCAAAGGACAGTTAGCGTTTCCAAATTGTCAAATTAAAGAAAGATGAAAATGAAAAATACAAGGCTTTGTTCTGGTAACAATGATATAACAAAAGAACTTACTTTCCATCATAGTTGTTTTTACATGACCACCATCTAAACTGTGGTGATTGTGATGGGCTGTATGTGTGCATGTGTACCTTTACGTAATGTGTAATAACTTGTTTTTCTCTTTTTCTTCTTGTTTGTTCTGCAGGTGTTTAAAGACTCTCTGATCCGGCAGACGACGGGCGATAAGAAGAATCCATTCCGGTATTTCAGTAAGCAGGAGCTGAAGGAGTTGTTTACGTTAGAGGATGCCCACTCGTCCTCCACTCAGCTGCAGCTGCAGGCGCTTCACTCGCAGCATCGCCGCTCTGACCCAGAACTGGACTCACACATCACCGAGCTGCACCGTATGGAAATGTTCGGAATCTCCGACCATGACCTGCTGTTCTCTAAAGAGGCCGCGGCGAACGAGGACGACCTGCAGGATGTCGAATCCGACCGCTACATCCTTACCCGCGTGCAGAAAGCACAGGAACTCGTCCAGGCCGAGTCCGAACTGCACGGCCAGCTGATGGACAGCGTCGCTAACAGCACGGAACCGGCCTGGCTCAGGCTCGCAAAGCAGCGTGAGATAGAGGAGTCCTCCAGGAAAAAGCGCACAGACAGAGATCGTGGGAAATGTACACACGAGTCCAGCCCCCCCTCTGTGGTGGACCTCACCCAGTCCTGCTCCGATGATCTGAATGAACTTTCGTACGCTAATGAGGTGGAGATCATCAGTGAAGATGGAGAGATGGAAGATAAGAATGAGAGGATGATTTCTGGAGGGGTCATGGACTTATCTGATGGGGTCAGTTCTGCTGCTGCTGAAAACTTGATGACCACTCCAGTGGAAGACAGTTTAATCATGGGGGAGGAGTCCTACAGGCCGCCCTCTGAGGAGCCGCCCTCTGAGGAGCCGCCCTCTGAGGAGAGTTCCTCGGCCAGCCTATGCAAGCTGTCTCTGCAGATGGAGGATAAACACGAAGATGTGGTGAAGGAAGATCACAGAAACAGTCAGCTTTTCTCCCCACACATTAAATCTCCCAACCAATCAGATTCGTCTACAGCACTGCTGGAGGTGGAGCAAAATACACCGCTGTGCGTGTCTGTGCTGGCCGAGTCGTTCCAGGGAAAATTTAACTTGCAGCTGGAGGACAGTGCCGACATGTTCTCGGGTCAGGAGGAGGAGGAGGAGGGTGGTGAAGAGGAGATGGACCCAGCTGAAGAAGAGGAGAAGTTCCAGCTGCAGTTGGACATCACTGGAGACAGGCTGGTCAGCAGAGAGGCCAGTGCCTGCGGTTTTCCCAATATGCCAAAGTCCACCATGTCCACTCCTGCCGACGAGTCTTTTCTTCACCCGGTCAGGAAGAAAAAAGCTCAGGTCCTTTGCGACAGTGAGGAGGAGGAGGAGGAGGAGGAAGGGGAGGTAGAAAAACCATGTTTAGCAAGTAGCCCATTGTCTGGCAGCTTCAAAAGTCTTGGCTCTTCCACACCGAAGTCTGTGCCGAGAAACGGCGCCCCCAGCAGACGCAGTTTGAACACCTCAGTAGCTTCCCGACGCTCATTCGTGGGGTCGCTGCTGGAAGATCTGGAAGAGGAGGAGGAGGAGGAGGAGGAGGATGACGTCAGTGAGGGGGCGGAGCTTAGTCAGGCGTCTGAAGCCAATGGAACATCTGTTGAGGAATCTGTGGAAGAGGAGGAGGAGCCAAGCGGAGAAATGCTAAATTCAGAAAACATGTGTGAGAGCGAGGGAGTGAGCCGAAGCGAGTACGAGAGTGAAGGGGAAGAGGAGGTTGAAGAGCAGAGCTATTCAACAGAAGAGATCTGAAACAGTGTCCTCCCAAACGTGCTTCCTAAGAAACACCACCAATAAAACCCCACCAGGGGAATCTTTTGAGACCCAGGTGCATTCTGGGTAGTTTAGTCTGTCGGTGGGAATAATATATATATTGTTTTGGGAGAGGACTGTGGGTTATTGGTAGATTCATAGATTCTCGCCAATGTGTGGTTGTTTTTTTTTTTTTTTTCCGGGGGGCTGGGGGGGGGTCCCCTTTCTTTCATTGTTCCTATTGAGGTGGTTTGGAGGGGGGAGAGGACTATGGGTGACTAAGGCACACAGTCACACACATCACAGCCCCATTGCACTTGCGCAACTTTATTGTAAAGGTGAATGTCCCTGAAAAGGGGAGTTTCGGTGGTGAAGGGGCCATTATTGGTCTGGGCCAAAACAGGAACTCTGTCTTCCTGGAAGTGATAGACATTAACAGCAGAAACGGAGAAATTCAACTGTTCATCATTCAACAAACAGGCACAGCATACTCACTTATAAGTGTATATATATACATATATATATTTACTTTTTTCCAATAACCATGTCCAAAAAAATCTGATATTTTCAGGTTTAAATTTATTTTTTCTCTCCTTATTACTTGAAACATTATGTGGAGTTTAACCACTTGATGTCGGTAAGTAGGTTCTAAATTGTTCATTGTAAAAGTTGACTGTTAAAACAGAAAATCTGTTTAGCTTTTGGAAAAAGTAATTATGTTATTAAAACAAGCCATAAATAAAACCTGGTGTTCATGATGTCCATAGTGTCCAGAATATGTTGCAAAGGAAAAGTTTGAAAAATTAGTTGTTTGTATTTATTGTTGATTAAATACTTTGGAGCAGTGTGCTGTCATTAGCTTAGCTGACATTTTGAGTTTAACCTGTGTTTAAACCTGAAGGAGTCACTTGGGTTCTTAAACTCCATCGCTGTGTCCTCAGAAGCTGCAGTTTAAAAAGCACCTGCAGCTTAAACTAAACCCAAATAACATCATATCACATGGTGCTTTGTCTCAGGTTTAACTGAGGTTTATCTTGAGCCTGATAGACATGATTTGAGATTTATCTTAAATATGTTAAAGATGTGGTTTAACTGGGGTTTAAGGTGAGATTATAGTAACTGAAGCACATTACGCTAATACTATAACAGATTCTGAATTAGACTGACTTTTTTGAGCCGTGGACAGCATTAGTAGTCCAGTCTAGATTTCTTTAAAACTGTGTAAGTGAATATTAGACACATGTATGTATTGATCCAGATGAGATAATGGACAGAATGACTCTGTTTAACTGGAAAAATACTGATAAAATCTAATATAAGGGAATATAAGGGAGTCCATTCTCATCGTCTTCTGTACGGCTATATATGTAGAAATAATCACCATCAGTCTATTTCAGAGTTCATGCTGAGAGACGTATAAAGAGACGTTTTCTGAGGGTTTTTCAGAAGCTGGTGATGAATGAGCTGCTCAGTGAGGGAGTTTAGATCAGTGTCAATAAACTCTACCTCATTCTACTTCACCCCATAGAGCATCTCTAGAAGAGCTTTTATTCCTTCACAGCCTCCCAACCACACATGGATCATGATGTTCCTCTCATTTCTCTAATGAGCTGGAAGCTGATGAAGCTAATGAGCTGGATTAGCTGATCACTCAGTGTAAAACACTGTTCTCTGTTTTCTAAAATAAAATCAAAAACTGATCAACTCTTATTTTTCTGTGATGAATTCACCTTTGATCCTCTGACCGCTGAAGCTCTGCTGACCTCTTAACACATTAAACCACCACATGTGGCAGTTTAGACTTAGTCCTTGTTCAGGGTTGGAATCTGACTCCATGTGTTGGTGCAGCCTCATTAAATTAGATTTAGATTAGATTAGATATTTTACTTTAAATACTAAGATAAATCAGTGAAATACTGTTTTAATTTTAATCCAGGGTTCAGTTTTAGTGTGAGAGGTTTATCTTGACTGAAGCTGATCTAAGACTTCATTATTGTTGGTGAATCCCAGCCTGAGTTTCAGCTTCATGAACCCAGAGATGTGTAGAGCAGCCTAAACGCACACTGGGGTAAAAGTGCTGTTACTTCACCAGGGATTTGATCTGTCGCTGATTCTAATGTTTTATAGGCTCGTGATTGTTTAACACCACCAGGAGAGTTTTGATGAAGTGGTCCTAATCAGTATCTGGTATTTCAGAAGTGTAGTGGATGTCACTGACCACCAGGTCATTTAAGAAGCCTTGGTCATTAAAGTGTTTATAATTTCTTCTAACCTCCATGTGAGAACCTGACTTTATGAAGCTAGTGTTTCTAATGTATCAGATAGGGCAGTGGTCACTAAAACCAGGGTCAAATACACCTGCAGAGGTAAATTTATCAGGACTCTTGGATAAAAGTAAATCTATTACTGCTGACTTAGTGGGGTCATTTAAATTTGGTCATGTTGGTTCTGTAATTAGTTGCGTTATCAGATGTAGTAGTTAACAAATTCAGTCTGTATAGATTATAAGCAGGTAGGGCGGCTTCTGAGTGAGACACAGACTGTTTAACCAGGATTCAGTCAGAGCTACAGTCTCTGTATCGGCTTGTGAGATCAACATTTTCAGTGTTTGAGCAGAGTCTGTAGTGCAGTAAGGAGTTTCCAGTCTCCCCGTTATAGAAAGGAGAAAAGACAACAATGAGAATCAACTCGTCAGTACCTGATCAAGGAAATGAGTAGCTTGAGAATGAAATGTGCAGCACAGGTTGGTAATATGAGCATGAGACACACTGGAACTCCGCTCAGTATTTACCAAACACCACAAACACACACACACACACACACACTCACTCACACACACACACACACACGCACGCTTTTAGTGATATGAGTAATTTATAAAAGCAGCACCGAATATATAGTTTAATGATTAATGTGCTGATCAGAGAAAACAGTGCAGAATAAGTAGTAGAATAAGAGATAATTTCGTGAAGTGTGAAAATATTGTGTTTCTGAGTGACTTCTTGAATTACTGTGTTTGTGAGGCTCTGTAAATAAAATGACAATAATTTTAGAGTAATTATAACCAAATCACATCATTTCATACAGTAGTTCAGCATTTACAGTAAGGGTCTGATCAGAATCTGATGGTCTTTCTCGGACTTGCCAGTTGACGGTTTGACCACAAGATGGCGCCCAAGCTTAATCAGTGACGTGCATAAGAGCTTTATTCCTACCAAAATTCAAATGTAACACTACACTGTATACATAACACACACACACACACACACACACACACACACACACACACACATTCGTGTTCATATGTTCTGGCATTATATTATTCTTACAGATTTCTTACTCCATAACAGAGTGTTTCTTCATATTTAGATCAGCCTAGATAAACCCACTTTGATTTATAATTATGAAATATTTTCTTAAATTAAGATGAATTGTATTGCAGCTGATACATTTCTTTCTTTCATTCTTTCTTTCTTTCTTCCTTTCTTTCTTTTTTCTCGGTTCTTTTTTTCTTTCATACGATGGATAATTTTTGACGTTTTGTCTTTAAATGACATGGGATTTAAAAGGCTGTGAAACACTAATAATAACAGTGGTAAATAGTTGTAATGATGTGTGTTATTTATTTGCTGGCAGTTTTTGCTTTGTGTGTTTTCTCTGTAGTGTCTGTTGTGTGTGGCTCCGCCTCCCGTGCCTTGGTTTCAATTAGGTCCTGTAGAGGAGCATAACAGACGCGTTCAGCAGAACAGCGTTTCATTTGTTCAGTAAACTTCGAGTTGAAAAAGAAGCAGCGACCATGTCAGGAAGAGGAAAGGGCGGTAAAGGTCTCGGTAAAGGAGGCGCTAAGCGTCACCGCAAAGTGCTCCGCGATAACATCCAGGGCATCACTAAACCGGCCATCCGCCGTTTGGCTCGCCGTGGCGGCGTCAAGCGTATTTCGGGTTTGATCTACGAGGAGACCCGCGGCGTGCTCAAGGTGTTCTTGGAGAACGTGATCAGGGACGCCGTCACCTACACCGAGCACGCTAAGAGGAAGACCGTCACCGCTATGGATGTGGTTTACGCTCTGAAGCGTCAGGGCCGAACCCTGTACGGCTTCGGAGGTTAAACGCTCGACTCGAACAACGCTAAACCCAACGGCTCTTTTAAGAGCCCCCCACACGCCCACCAGAAGAGCTGATCCGTATGATTTATATAGTAGTGTTGGCAACGCAAGCTTACGTACTTCTGTTGTTTTTGTGAAGAACATGATTTTAATCTAATACCAGAAAAACAGAGTGAAGGAGAATATCTCACTGTTTGTAAAAACCGAGCGGACTGTGCTGAGTTACTCTAACAGCGTTTTCTGAAACCTGCAGTCGTTCAGTGAGTAAAGCTGTTGTTCATCAAAGCACCGCAAGTTCTACATTTTACAGAAAAAACCGTCAAACGCCAGCGCTGTTCTCCAGCAGAACCAGATAAATCCGTTCAAAATCTCTTAAACGAAACTGGTATGCGTTACATGGATTTGTTTAACTTTGAAACACGGAGTGATAATTGGAGAGAGAAATTTTCAATAAAGTTTAGTTTTGTAAGACAATCCAACAGCAGTTTGAGATCTGAAATGCACAATACATGATTTATGAAAACTTATTAAAATGGAGATCTGTTTTGGCAGAACTAAAACCTCTCAAAAGTGTTTATAATGTGACAAAGTTTGATGAAAAAGAACAATAACTAAAAATAAACACTTAAATTTGGAATAATTTTGGACATTTGGACAAATGTGTTGTAGAGCACACACGGTAGATAAGAATGCGCGGGAAAGTGAACAAAGGGAAGTCTTTAGCTGGTGGGGGAGTAGGAGGAGGAGGAGGAGGGGGGGGCTGGGCGAGAGCTGGGAGTTCCCCTTGAAACAAGTCGTTTATTGTTGTCCAATGATCGTTTGACAGCACTGTGAAGGCGGAGCTTGGTCTGTTTTGAATATGGGAGTGTAGATAAGCCGGTGCCGGGCGCTTTTTTTTTCCATTCTTCAGTCTTACTCGAAAAGAGGAATCATGCCTGAACCCGCGAAGTCCGCCCCGAAGAAGGGCTCTAAGAAAGCCGTGACCAAGACGGCTGGTAAAGGAGGCAAGAAGCGCAGAAAGTCTAGAAGGGAGAATTACGCTATCTACGTGTACAAGGTGTTGAAGCAGGTCCACCCCGACACCGGTATTTCTTCCAAAGCCATGGGCATCATGAACTCGTTCGTCAACGACATCTTCGAGCGCATCGCCGGTGAGTCGTCCCGTTTGGCTCATTACAACAAGCGCTCCACCATCACGTCCAGGGAGATCCAGACCGCTGTGCGCCTGCTTCTTCCCGGTGAGCTGGCTAAGCACGCCGTGTCTGAGGGTACCAAGGCCGTCACCAAGTACACGAGCTCCAAGTAAGACGTGAGGAAGACTTGATCAACCCAACGGCTCTTTTAAGAGCCACCCACAGTTACGCTTAAAGAGCTTTGTTTTCGTTTGTGTGTGTGTGAATGAAAACGGTTTTACTTTGTAGGTAGGGAAAATGTTTGCTGGAGTTTCACCGGAATAAATTTCCCGCGCAATTTTTCGCTATGTTCTTAGTTACCGTTATGCGAGTAATGGGACACTTTGGTAAAATAAGAGGGAGCGAGCGCGCGCGCACACACACACACACACACAAATGCAATTGAAGGCTTTCCTGAGTGGAGTCAGAAGATAAGTGTGTGGGGGATGAATGGAGAAAGCTCAAACTCCGTTTAGAAAGTCAGTAATACGTAGGTAATAATGTTAGGATACATGTCCTGCAGTAGCTGTAGTTAGTAAGTTTTAAGTTTGATTTTAAGGGACAGGAGTTCGATTTCCCTTCGCGCTGCACATAGAAAGTCATTACTAATAAGTGCAATTACAGGAAAGCGCCAGGATCGACATTATAATCGAGTTTTGCATTTACATGGATAAAACAGGAGCGGGAATGGGGGAGGAAACAGCAAGAAAACAGCGTCGTGTATACGTCTCTTTATTTCTTTCCCTCTTCGTCTCTCTCTCTCTCTCTCTCTCTCACACACACACAGGATGCAGCACCAAGGGGGAGGGGAGAAGCGAGGGGCTTGGTAAAGAACTGTGGGCGGACCTTAGGGTTTAATGGCGCTAAAGGCCGTTGCATTTCAGCCAATAGAAACGCAGCCGCTTTGCCTGTTTGAAAGGCGTTCGGAAACCGGGGCTTTCTATTTCAAGTTAGCTTGGCCAATTCAGTGGAAGAGGCAAAACCGGTGGTAAAGGCAAGGTCCTTTTTAAAATAAAGATAAAATAAAGGTCTTTTTTTAAGCGTAAATGTGAAGAACTTCACCAGCAGAGAAATGAGTGGTACAATAAATTAATGTGTATGTCGACCTCCAAACGACCCCCAGCAGAGGTCTAGATGAAGAAAACAGATTGACTGAAATTAAATTGCAGTTAGAAAAATTAAACAACGAAATGTTTTTAAATACACACGTTCAAGCAGGGTTTGGTTGGAACTTTGATGGAAATGCACAAGATGTGATAAAACAACTAAAAAAACGGAGGGAAAATAAACGGATTGAGGGAATTAAAAATGAGAATGGTGACATTGTCGAAAATGAATATAATAAAAGAAAAATTATAAGACAGAAATGTGAAAATGAATATAAGAAAGTGAGAATTGATAAAACTAGACTTAGACTTTTTTTAGACTCATGTCTGACATTACAGGGAGAAAATCTGAAGGTCTTAGAAGAACCAGTGAAGAAGGAGGAAGTGCTGAAGGCCATTCATGAGCTGAACATGGGTAAAAGTCCAGGTCCTGATGGTTTGCCAGCTGAGTTTTATAAATCTTGTCCTTGTCCTTGCCGACCTCTTGGTATCTGTTTACAATGAAGGATTAGAAAATGTAGCTTTACATGACTCCTTTTATCACTGTGTGATTTCATTAATCTTTAAAAAGGGGGATCGCAGTGATCTGGACAACTGGCGACAAATGAATATTTAATGAATATAGATTATAAAATCTTGGCTAAAGTGATAATAAACAGAATGTCAGAAGTCATGAATGATATCATTGAGGTCGAGCAAACGTGCAATAAAAGGGAGATACATGTGGGATAACCTGTGTGCGATTCGAGACATAATCACAAATAAGAGAGATCAGGATTTTTATGTAGTTGGACTAGACCAGAAAAAGGATTAATCTAGAGATTATCTATGGATTGTTTTAAAACACTATGGTTTCCCGGAGAAGTTCATTAATATGATAAAGTTGTTATATAAAGAATCTAAAATCCAGATTAATGTAAATGGGATTTTAACTAAGGATTCTAAAATAGATAGAGGAGTGACGCAGGGGTGTCCTCTAAGCTCTGCTCTGTATGTGATCGCTATCAGCCCCCTGCTGCACAAAATTAAACACGAGCCCAGGCTGCAGGGAGTCCAGCTCTCAACCGCAAAGCCACTGAAAATCTCTGCATACGATAGGTATATCACATAGATGACATTACAGTCTTTGTTAGAAATCAGGCTGAGTTAGACGTCATCAGAGAACATTTTAATACTTATGAAGCAGTAGCTGGGGCAAAGTTAAACAACAGCAAGAGTGAGGCTGTGTGGATAGGAGAGGGAGATCCTGCAATGATAAATCTAGCTGTTAAAGAACAGATTAAAATCCCAGGATTTTAAACAGAAAGTGCAGCGAAACAAACTGGGAGAAAAAAGAACAGGAAATTAAAACAGAATTAGAAAAATGGAAAATCTCAAATTATTAGAGTAGGATTCAAGTAATCAAGATGTTTGTTTTATCTAAGTTGTTGTTTTTAGCTACTATTTTCCCTCCAGATGATAAATGTGTGATGAGATTAAACAAAATGTGTGTTCGTTTTATTTGGGGAAGCAACAGGGAAGTGACCAAGCGAGAGGTCTTATATAAACCCAGAGAGAAAGGAGGCCTCGGTGCGGTGGAGCTGGGGAGAAAATTAAAAATAGCCTTTTGTAAAAATGTAGCTCAAGTCATGAGCAGAAACTCAGAATGGATAGGGAATAAAAAGTCCTGGGAGAAGAAAAAGGGCAAGGCGAGACAAAACACCCCCTTTTTTTTAAGTTAGTTTATGGTGATTTCATATCGAAATATGAATAATTAAATATTGATTGGAAGAATTCCCCAAATAAAACAATTTAGAAAATCATACCGGACAGTGATTATGGAGAGATATTCAATTACAAGCACTTAACACACACTGAAGGACAATTTTGTGTAAAAAACATTTTATCCAAAAACCTCTCTGAGAACGTAAGAGACATGATGTGGCTGGTGACAGTTGGCAGACTGCCAGTCAGATGTATAGTTAAATGGAGCTGTTATGTCACAACTAAAACGTGTCCGATGGCTGATTGTAATGAAGATGAGACAATTGAACATCTCTTCATTCACTGTCCAAGAACAAAAGATATCTGGAGGAAATTAATGCGCATTGGGCTGAATTTTAATATTAATGTGAAAAGTGTGATGTACGGGATTTTTCATGAAACTTTTTCCAAAAGAATTTTATTGGTTTATTGCTTGTATTGTTAATTCTAAGATCTGGAAGACGCGCTGTAAAATGGTCATAGAACAATGTGAAATACCTGCAGGAAGTGTTTTTAAACAAATATTGTGTGAGATCAAAAGACTGCGAACAACAGAAGAAAAAGCTCCCCTGGACTCTGCTGGACTTTTAATCAATGCTACATCATTCTGAATGGAAATAATTGAACTGTGTAAAACTGTGAATTGTAGAAATGTTGATAAATATGCGTTTTGTATTTTTGTACTCTGTATTTGAAAATGTGTTTGTATTGACATAATTCCTCCATAAAGTTTGTTATAAAAAGCAAAACCTAGCCTAGGGCGAAGGCCAAGACTCGCTCTTCCCGTGCCGGACTGCAGTTCCCTGTGGGTCGTGTTCACAGACTTCTGCGCAAAGGAAACTATGCCGAGCGCGTCGGCGCTCCTGTCTACTTGAGTTGACCGGTAATGCCGCTCGCGACAACAAGAAGACCCGTATCATCCCTCGTCATCTGCAGCTGGCCATTCGTAACGACGAGGAGCTCAACAAACTGCTCGGAGGAGTCACTATCGCTCAGGGTGGCGTTCTGCCCAACATTCAGGCCGTCTTGCTGCCCAAGAAGACCAAGAAGGCGGTCAAGACCAAATAAACTGGTTTTGTTTTCTGATTTGTACATAACCAAAAGGCTCTTTTAAGAGCCACCCACCTCAGCGACAAAAGTGCAGTTTTTCTTTACTTCCTACCACCAAAAAAGAAAGGCGTACGTACATTACAGTAAAACAAAAGCCAAAGCATCACATGTCCCGCGATTGTATAGTGAAAAGGGTTTGGAAGTTCTTATTGTACAGAAAATGAAGTGAATAGAATCACAGGAACGTCTGTATGATGGCGCGGGTTAAGGTGAAATAACAGACAAAGAATACAGAATAACGTTACACACCACGTGTAAGGAAGAAAAAAACTGCTTATTAGATCGGCTATAATGCAGAAGCCACAGCGTTGGGGTGTCTTGTAGTTTGAAAATGTTGGCGCGGCAGAAGACGCCCAGTAGTGTTTAACTGACGCATGGACGGCCGTGCAATGGGAGGCGGGCCCATCCAAGACGCCCAGTGGGCGGAGAGCAGCTTGAGTGCTTAAAAGAGCCATGATGGGCACGCGAGTTTTTTCTTTTTCTTTAGAAAAGAAGAGCAGAGTCCGACGCAATGGCAAGAACCAAGCAGACCGCTCGTAAGTCCACCGGTGGCAAAGCCCCGAGGAAGCAGCTGGCTACCAAGGCTGCTCGTAAGAGCGCTCCGGCCACCGGCGGCGTCAAGAAGCCTCACCGTTACAGGCCCGGTACCGTGGCTCTCAGGGAGATCCGCCGTTACCAGAAATCCACAGAGCTGCTCATCCGCAAGCTGCCCTTCCAGCGCCTGGTGCGGGAGATCGCTCAGGACTTCAAGACCGATCTCCGCTTCCAGAGCTCTGCCGTCATGGCCCTGCAGGAGGCTAGCGAGGCGTACTTGGTGGGTCTGTTCGAGGACACTAATCTGTGCGCCATCCACGCCAAGAGAGTCACCATCATGCCTAAGGACATCCAGCTGGCCCGCCGGATCCGCGGAGAGCGCGCTTAGATTAAACGGAGCGACCACAAGTTACTCAAATACCCCAAAGGCTCTTTTAAGAGCCGCCAAACTGTTTCAGTCCAAAAGAGCGAGTTTTCTAGCGAACTCAAGAGTTCTTTTGTGTTGTGATGTAGTAACAGATCTCGAAGAGGAGCCCGCGAGCTTTTCCCTGCGGAGTCGTGAGGAGCTGCTTAGTTCCAGCTCAGATGTTCATCCCGTGTTTGATCAGAGTCCGTAGTGCAGTGAGGAGTTTCGAGTCTTACAGAAAGAGATGAGAATGAACTCGTTAGTACTTAATCACGGAAATGAGCGGCTGGAGAATCAGAAGTGCAGCACAGGCGAGTAGTGTGAGCGCGTGACTAGCGCTACGAACATCACGTACATAGTGAATATGTAGGGCTGCGTTAGTGGAGTAAGAGTTATGCGAAAACCCCGTGTGTGTGTGTGCGCGCATCTAAACGAAGGCGGCCGTTCAGAGAAGCTTTCTGCTCAGTATTTAACCAGCACTACAAACACCACCACACACTAAACACAAACACAGCTCTTAATGATGATATGAGTGACTGAAGAAAAGCAGCACCGAATATGGAGTTTCATTATTAATGTGCTGATCAGAGAAAACACAGTAGAAAGACCAGCTCTGGGGTTTTGGGCTGAGGGCGGGTTGTCATCGATGGAGCATGGTCGCCCCCGTGTGGTCAGAATGTGGACCTGCAAGCAGCATAATAAGAGATACGTTGGTAAAATGTGTAAATATTGAGTTACTGAGTGACTTCCTGAGTTACTGTGTTTGTGAGGCTCCGTAAATAAAACGAGAAATAAAATGATAATCACTTTAAAATAATTACAACCAAATCACACCATTTCATACAGTAGATCAACATGTACAATGAGTTTGATCGTTCTTTCTTTCTTTCTTTCTTTCTTTCCTTTTTACTTTAGACAATTTTTGACGTCACAAATGAGAAAAGGTTTTAAGGTTTTTTTAAAGGTTAAAAAAAATAGAAATTTAATACCAAAACATACAAATTCCAATCATTTACACTTTTTTTTTTGTTAAGATGAATTTAATACCTATCATGGATTTATGTATTTATTTTTTTGTTTGTTTCTTTTCCCTGTTCTTTCTTTCTTTCTTTGTACTTTGAACTATTTTTGTCTTGAAATTTATTTACTTTGTGTCTGAGGAATAAACTTAGTTTCTGAGATTCCACCACAGAGGTAGAACAAAGCACAATCATGTCTTTATGTAACTTTAAATGTAATTTAATATCTTTAATTCATGATATGGACGGTTTAATAAAATATTGTACAATAGATTTTGTGTAATTAATTTAAAGTACATTACAAGAAAATATTTTATTTATTTATAATAGTTCTTAATCATTTAAGATATTCTGTGATAAATAATAATAATAATAATAATAATAATAATAATAATAATAATAATAATTAAATGAATAACAGTGAAGTACACAAATATGACAGGCCAACAATAAAATCATTTCTCATTTCAGCATCAAACATCACTATAAAGTTGTTTTTTTATTCTTACATTTCTCTTATTAAATGTATAAAATGTCCAAAATGTTCCGAGTCTCAGTTCACTGAGGTAAAGGACCCAAACTGGCATCTTGGTGAAGCACCTGCACTGTCAGAGCGACTGGACTTCACTTTCATTTGCAGCCAAGATGGAGGTCCAGGAACTCACCACAGTGACCACAGTATCAAGTATTTACTGAACACCTTTACAGAGACCACCAGACAATAAGCACCAGGGTGGGCAGTGAGTCTGTTGAAACGTGCTGTATGAGATCCACAGACACATCAGAGGCCGTTCACTCACCGGACAAACACGATTGGGTGTCTTCCCTCGCGCCAAAATTTTGAAAGAAATGAGACGTTGCCTCAGCGCCGTGGCGACCTCCTGTATTACAGCCTGTGTTCATTTTAATATGGAGCGCTTTTCGAGACTAACTGGAAATTCAAAATTAATTACTTTTCCCTATTTATTATACGTAATTATTACACGCGTTACTCCATTCTAACTGGCGTCATTATGCGGACGTTCGTGTTTCAATTCGCCTTAGGTGTGAGAGTAGAAAGCTTGGGTGGAGCGGGTAGGGGATAATGAAAAACTGCACTTTTGTCGCTGATGTGGGTGGCTCTTAAAAGAACCTTTGTTTATATTCAAATCAGGGAAAAAGAAAACCAGTTTACTTGGTCTTGACCGCCTTTTCGGTCTTCTTGGGCAGCAGCACGGCTTGAATGTTGGGCAGAACTCCACCCTGAGCGATAGTGACTCCTCCGAGCAGTTTGTTGAGCTCCTCGTCGTTACGAACGGCCAGCTGTAGATGACGAGGAATGATACGAGTCTTCTTGTTGTCGCGAGCGGCGTTACCAGCCAACTCGAGGATCTCAGCAGTCAGATACTCCAGCACGGCGGCCAAATAGACGGGAGCGCCAGCGCCGACACGCTCGGCATAGTTACCTTTACGAAGAAGCCTGTGAACACGGCCCACAGGGAACTGCAGCCCGGCGCGGGAGGAGCGAGTCTTGGCTTTAGCCCTAGCTTTACCACCGGTTTTGCCTCTTCCACTCATTTTGCGCTTCTATCAACTTTGCCGAACTAAACTGAAATAATGAGTGCCGGTCGCCGAACGCCATTCTTATAGCTAAAGCGGCTGCGTTTCTATTGGCTGAAATGCAACAACCAATCGTATTAGCGCCGTCAAACTCTAGGTCCCGCCCACCGTTCTTGTCCACGTACCCCGCTTCTCCCACACCCCTTCGTGCTGCCGCGTGTCTGTGAAACGTATACGCGTCCTTGTTTTCCCACTATATTCCTATCCCAATTCCCCCTCCCATTCTCATCCATTTAACTACAAATGGCAGCTCAAGTGTAATGTTTGGTAATATAATTACTTAGTAATTAAGACTGTGTAGGGAGAATGAAAACCGAGCTCTTTGAGAGGAAAATGTGGGTGTGGCTCTTAAAAGAGCCGTTTTTGAGTGGGGAAAACAGGACACGAAAGTAAAACGGCCCGTTTACTTCTTTTTGGGGGCGGCCTTTTTCGCCGCCTTGGGCTTGGCTGCTTTGGGTTTGACCGCCTTCGCTTTCTTCGGGCTCTTGGCCGCCTTCTTCGGGGCCGCCGGCTTCTTGACTTTCTTAGGAGACTTGGCCACTTTCTTGGCCGCCGCCGGTTTTTTGGCTTTCTTCGGCGATTTCTTGGCGGCTGCGGGCTTCTTCGCCGCTACCTTCTTGGGCTTCTTAGCAGCGGCGGGCTTTTTGGCGGCCGCCTTCTTGGCTTTGGGCGCCGCTTTCTTTGCCGGCTTCGTCTTTGACTCGGCTTGTTTCTTGTTGAGTTTGAAGGAGCCGGAGGCGCCGGTGCCTTTGGTCTGCACCAGAGTGCCCTTCGTCACGAGAGTCTTGACGGCGATCTTGACGCGGGAGTTGTTCTTGTCCACGTCGTAGCCGCCGGCAGCCAGAGCCTTCTTGAGGGCGGCGAGAGACACGCCGCTCCTCTCCTTAGACTGAGAAACAGCCTTGACGATGAGCTCGCCGACGCTAGGACCGGCTTTCTTGGGCCGGGCGGCGCTTTTCTTCTTGGGAGCTTTGGCCGGCGCGGCGGCGGCTGGAGCGGGAGCGGCTTCTGCCATCGTTCTGCTTCTGCTGCGAGCGGAGCGAGAATGAGCGCGAGCTGCACTGTTCAGAGGAACCTCCCTCTCCGGCGACGGGCCGGCCCCTTAAAAGCCACATGAGAACGGTGTAGACTCAATCCGGCGGGCGCCATGCAGCCGCGCCTCAGTGACGCGCTCGTACCTGTGTTTTCTTGTGGCGTTTAGCAGCCAAAATAAGAGCGAAAGCGGTACCTGTAGAGCGCCCAACGGCTCGATCTTATAGAAGAGGCTCTGCTGTGTTTCCTAAGTCCGGGATTGAGCGCGCAGCGACGCCTCATTTCGCAGGGCGCTCTCAAAAGGGCGCCGCACGACACCCGCTCCGAACGAGATGCGGTGTATTTAGCGCAATAATCTGTGAAAAACGGTGGCAAACGGTGGCGCGAGCCTCCGAAGAGCTCAACGCCGCGTTCAGGGAGAGCCTCGGCGAGGGCATGAGCGAACTCCCACTGGCCGAGCGCCCCGCTGATTATGGGTAAAACGAGCTTTCTTAGAGCGAGTAAAACACACGCGTAAGCCGGCGGCCACTGGGGGCAGAGACTACTCTATGCTGATGTGCTGTTATACAAATAAAGTTTGACTTTACTAGTGAGATATAATCACAAACTCGTTCTAACCATAATTAGCTTTACCCTAACTCCGTAACTAAACCCCTTCTAACCCTACTAGAAAATGAAGCCATAACAAACCTAGAGGGAACTAGCTGTGAAATACTCCAACCACCTAAGGCCTAGTTCCAAACCAACTTTTAGTCATTCTAAATTATTCACAAGCTTAATGACGTTCCAAATATCCCTCTTCACTCACCCTAACTTCATCATAAGCCTGAGGTCTTGCCCAAATCCTTCTATTATAGGCCCAAGGTTTAACTGTAGACATGCTTTTGCTTACTATGACCTCAGCAACAAAGGTTTTAGCCGAAATCTACTTTCACTTTTTTAGCCTAGCTCTGTACCTGATTTTAACTTTCCAACTTCATCAGAAGTCTAATGATACATCTCAGTTCACTCACTCTTACTCCATCGCAAGCCTGAAGCCCTGCCCTAAGCTTACTTTGACATTCTTTAACTGTAGCACTGTAGCTGCTGTTACTGACCCTAACTTTACCACAAGCCTAGGGCACAACTCTAAACCTACCATCACTCACTCTATCTACATCATAAGCCTGAGGCCTAGCAGAAAAGCTCATATTGCTCATTCTTACCTCATCAAAAGCTAAAGGCCTTGCCCTTCACTGAGTTTTACATCTTTAATTTCTTAGTAAACCCAAGGCCTAGCTCTATAGCTACTCTTTCTTATTCTATTTTATATTATAAGCCTGAGGCCAAGCTGAAAGGTTACTTTTGTTGACACTAACTTCATCATAAGTCTAAGACTATAAAACCTATAGAGGTTTGTGCTTTACTCTAACTTCCTCATGAATCTAAAGCCTTGCACTGAAACCATTGTTATTTATTTTACAACAGTAAAGGCACAAGGCCTAGCTATATGTCTCCTTTCACTTACTCTAACTTCATCATAAGCCACAATGAATGAATGAATGAATGAATGAATGAATAAATAAATAAATAAATAAATAAATAAATTCCAACTGACTACATCAGGAGCCCCATACTTAACTACAAACTTACTTATTTACCTGCTTTCACTTACTTTGACCACATCATGTGCCTGGGGCCTAGATGTGAGCCTACACATGCTCACTGTAAACACTTCCAAAGCTTGAAGCTGAGCCCCATGCCTACTATTGCTTTATCTAACTTCATTATAAGCCCGGGGCCTAGCTCTAAATCTACTATTACATACACTCCAACTACGATATAAACCTGAGGCCTTGCTGGAAGCCTCCTTTTCTTTGCTGCTACTTTAATTTCTCCAGCTTCATCTTAAATCTAGGTATTTCATTTAATTTTCAATTTTGGCAGGGTATTTGTGCAGATGTTTAGAAAAAGAAATGGCAAAAAGTGGTTTGCATTTACATTTTGTTGTTTTAATTTTAATTTATTTTTTGGCTGGATTTGCCTCCCATAGTCACCTGCTAGTTCCAGAAAAATGCTGATCATGTCTTTTAGCAGGCAGTGGATGAGGAGCGCAGCTCCAGAAGAAGTACAACTGTAAAACATATCTGCAGTTATCTCCGTCTGGTGTTTCCAGATAAAAAGTCACTGTGAGAACTGATCCAGCTAAACAATATGGTGTTCAGCGTGAACTTGGGGACAGTTATGTCTCATTGAGTTTCTAAAACCCAGGAACATGATAAGGAAATGGATAGTAATAAATTATAAAGACAATTAAGTCTCCCTCTTTAAACTACTGCAATGTTTCAGTTATAATGTTCAATTCTACATTTCTGTGCTTTATAGATAAACTTTCAGATTTACAGCAGCATATTTCACACTTTGAGGCCAGATCTCACAGTCTCACACAGAACCTTTCAAATCCAGTTCATTACAAAAGGCTTAGGCTGAAAACTTTGTATTTCTTTAGAGTTTATTACCTTCGTTCTTTCTTGATGGTCACTGTGTGCTGTGTAACATGAGGGGCATCTGGTGGTCACGTGCTGGTACTACATCATAGTGTTCTACGACAGAGATTAACGGTAGAGTTAATGTGGTTTTATCTTTGACTGTATTGACTAACCGGAGTGATAATTGTGATGAGATTCACTTTAAAACATGTTAATACTTAATAGACTCCTGATAAATAGACGTATGTGTATTTTTCAGTGCAGTTATTTTATAGGTTTGGCAGATTGTTTTGCCAATTTATTAATGCTGTCATTCATTGGGATTTTCTGAACTGTTTTCTGAATTGTTTAATTCATTTTAACTTCATTAGAAATAACACAATGTTCCGTGTCAGCTTTAATTTCACTAGAATCAACATTTAACTACAAACTATTAAATAAATAAATAAATAAATAAATAAATAAATAAATAAATAGAAACAGAAAAAAAATGTCACCATGTAAAGTAACTGGAACCTGCTTTAAAGCAAAGCTCAGAGTGAAGCACATTTATGTGATCTATCATATAAGAAGTATGTTTAATAACAAATGTTGGACAGTTGAACACAAAACATGATTCTTTATGAACTAAACTAAGTTGATGTTAGTCTATGATGTAGCTGCATGAGCACAGCAAAATGACCTAACAGCAGTTTGTTAGCTCAGTAACATGGAGGTACGCCTGTGCCAAAAATGGATAAAAATAAATGGATTAAAATATTTTTTACCCAAAACTCCATCACAAAACTATCATAAAACAATGTGTCAGACATCAGGCAGCAAATATTGTTTAGGATTACCATTGTCATAGCATTCCACAGCCTTCTAAATCATGTCTTCTTCTTTTTTTGAGGAAAAAAAGAAAAGAAACAAACAAACAAATACAATTCTGAATTTACATACATTTATTTTGAATTAAGAAAAAAATAATAAAACTGTAACAATTACAAGTAAACGTGGGTTTATCTAGGCTGCTCTAAATGTAAAGAAACACACTGTTACGGAGTAAAAATTACCTAAGAATAATAAAATACCAAAACGTATGAACATGTATATGTAAGTATATTACATATATAATATTTTCATACGTATGAGAGTTTATGTAGGAAATAAGTGCTACAGGTCTCATGAACGTGTCACAGATGAAATTTGGGCGCCATCCTGTGGTCAAACCGTGAACTGGCAAGTCCGAGAAAGACCATCAGACTCCTTACTGTAAATGTTGAACTACTGTATTAATGATGTGGTTTGGTTGTTGAAATTATTTATCAGTTTTATGATTTTATTTCCCATTTTATTTATGGAGCAAACACAATAATTAAAGAAGTCACTCAGAAACACAATATTTCCACATTTTATCTCTTATTCTGCAGGCTGACATGCGACCACACGGTTGCATGACGGGTTTAATAAGGCCAGGTTTATGAACCAACATTTTGATCTCTCTGAGTTTCTCCAAAAACCCTACACTACGATATTAAAAGGTAAACGTTTCATAGCTTTGAAATAAGAACTGAGTTTTAAACAAGTGGAACACAAAACGTCCTAAAGAGAGCTGGAGTTAAGTCTGTTTGCATACATTTGTTTTAGACCAATAAAAAAGCATTTAACGGAAGACAAACTCATTTGGAGTTAAGTCCCTGCTAGTTGGAGTTAGTTCA